GGCTGCACAATATGGACATAAAACGCAATGTTTTAAAGTTCTCAGATATCATGATGACGATAATGTGAGAAATTATGATCAAAAGAATGTGTCAAGTACAGTTTTTTTTCTGAAGAAAGATAGAAATATAACTTACTTTTAAGCAAAAAAAAAACAAAACGACTAAAGCACCATTCACTAGTGTGCAAAGTGAAAAATAAAAACGACTTACTAAAAGCTACAATATAATTGGAAGCAATTATTAATATTATTAAAATTCTTATCATTTTTGTGCAATGTAAGGCTGTAAGAAAAACACAGCATTCACTGAATAGCTTTTTCCATATAGAGCTGCAATAATTAATTAATATACACAATTTTTATTTCTGTGTCCACCAAAACAATACAAAATATACAATATATGTTTAATTCCTTAAAAAGCCGCTTATAGTGTTGCAGGTTTGTTGCGATAGTAGATATAAGGGCTTTGCACATTTTACACACAACACTGGGGCTGAATAATTACGTTTAAAGTATTTTTACAGGTTGGTTATTTAAGGACAGGGCAGTTTTTGAGTTGCGCACAAATGTATATTCTTGAACTGCCTGTATAGCAGAGTGGTTAAATGACTCTACATGCAGGGGAATAAGGTTACAGCCCAGTTTAGAAGAGCACACCACTGCTCTAATATTAGACAGGTCTCCTATATTCTCGCCCGTCCAATTACATCATTCCTGTGCTGTGGGTCATAACTCTTAATGATCTGTTTAAATATATAATCATGCAACCCTAATGTAATCACAGTTTGAATAGCATTTTTAAAAAATGAGGCACTACAGCTTTGCTGGTGTATTCTGTCATGTTCACAAACTACTAATAATTATTGTTATTATATATTGTGACAATGTCTTAAAGTACCATGATACTATGTTTTTTGCCACACTGCCCACTTTTAATATGTAAATAATTTCTCTAGTTACATCTGTATATTCATACAAATTCAAATCAAGGTTTGACGATGCACTGAATCAGTTCCTGAAGAATCATAGGCAATCTGAATCACTGTGATGTCACTATGAGTTTTACACCCCTGATGGCAGGTAAATGCGGGGTCTTCATGCATGGGGGAGATTTAGCAAGCCAATTGCGGAGGGGTAAACAGGCAGGCCTAATTGAACTAGCACTGTGCGCTCATCATGGCCCCCGCTGCCCTGCGGAAGAACAGGCCCTTCGTGATGCATCCTGACGTCCGCCCGTCAAAGTGACTGACAGAAAGAGACAGCGTGGCGGCCTGCAGGGGGGAAAGCAGAGTCAGACTCTGCGCTGTGACCGCTTGGGCACTGGGGCTGGAGCCAGTGGGATGATGCTGAAGCACTGCAGCGGTGTAGTGGCCCAGCAGAACAGCCTCGCCGCTCCCAGCCCAGGAGTTTTGAATGGTTATCACACGGAAACAGCCTTCGGGATTGTTCGTACTGCATGTAGCAGACGTTTGGTCTACTCCTTTGGCTTTGCATGCTAATAGCATCTGTATTGGAATTCATGTTTGCCAAAAGGCCTAAGCTCTGCAGTCTTATAATGCAGTTTTTAATTTTAAGACTACATTAACAAATTTAAATCATTCAGTACTATAAAACTAACATGTAAGTCAAGCAGTTATGTGAGTGGGAACTGAATCCCAGGCCTACGTCTTTGCAGATAAGGGGTTAAATAAACAGACAAATACAGTAATCAGCCATAACATTAAAACCACCTCCTTGTTTCTACGCTCACCGTCCATTTTATTAGCTCCACTTTCCAAACAGGTGCACTTTGTAGTTCTACAATTACAGACTGTAGTCCATCTCCTTCTCTGCATACTTTGTTATTCCCCTTTGCTCTGTTCTTCAGTGGTCAGGACCCCCACAGGACCACCACAGAGCAGATATTATTTGGGTGGTGGATCATTCTCAGCACTGCAGTGACACTGAAATGGTGGTGGTGTGTTAGTGTGTGTAACAACAGATGAGCTACTGTATCTGACACAGTGCAAGAGTGACATCTACAAGGTGGAGCTACAAGGTAGGAGTGTCTAATAGAGTGGACAGTGAGTGGACACAGTGTTTAAAAACTCGATGGCACTGCTGTGCCTGATCCACTTGTACCAGCACAACACATTCTAACACACCACCACCACGTCAGTGTCACTGCAGGGCTGAGACCCAAATAATACCTGCTCTGTGGTAGTCCTGTGCTTCCTGACCACTGAAGAACAGGGTAAAAGGGGGCTAACAAAGTATGCAGAGAAACTACAGTCTGTAATTGTAGAACTACAAAGCGCACCTATATGTAAAGTGGAGCTGATATAATGGACAATGAGTGTGGACAGAAGGAGGTCATTTTAATGTTATGGCTAATCGTGTATACAATAAGCGTAATTATTGACCCATGAAAACTTGAAGGACACAATATGCTATACCGGGAAAGAGAAACAAACAGAAAAGATGAGACGGGCAGGGGGTCTTTCAGCCACCTGCAGCTGTGCATGATCAACAATAGCTTCTGTGTCACTGGAGTGGTACCCACACGGCCATAGGCAGAAGCTTTAAGATGGGGACTGGTAAGCGAGGGTGACAAGGACAGGATTTCTAAAATTAAACAGGCCACCCTACGACCTTCGAACCAAGAGGGAGATGACATGGTGTATTTATGGCTGCTTTGGCCTCTCTGGGTTCAAAAAGCACACAGCTGACCACAAGGGGCAAAACACTGGCAGAACAAATGCTCACACAAAGACACACTAAAAGTAAACAGAAAAAGCCCTGCCAGCGCTAGACTCCACCAACAGAGCAAAGCTGTGGGGAGTTATGCGAACGGAAACAACCGATACAAATCCACATAGAGTTCACGATGCCTTAATTACCAGTGACATAGAAACTCAGTCAATGTCTTTTTTCCCTAGGGGTTGCAAAACAAGCGCAAGCAAACCTTAATCCGAAATGTTTTTAATCACCCGGCAGGATCAGCCACCCAAGTCGCCTTCTTGTTCCTCCCTCGGCAAGTATGCACAGTATGTCTAAGGAACAGTTAAAGCGTTACCCTGTCCTGTCTCTTCCAATCCCTCCTCCTCTACATTTCCAAGCAGGACTGTTCGCTTACATTAATGACTCTCTGTACGGGAGGAATACTTCCAGAACCGCGCGCTCATGACTGCGCAGCACGAGCATAAATCAAAGGCATCATTTTAGCCAGCCGCTCGGTAATTGTGATGTGTTTTGTGCCGTGCTATGGAGGGGGAGGGGGAACCGTCGACAGGCAGGCCTAGAGAAGAGATGGTGGTTGCCTTGGAAACCCCGGGCTGAGACACAGAGCAAGGGAGAGGACGAGAGGGAGAGAGAGACAGAGAGAGACTGAACAGGCGGAATGAGTGGGGAAACTATAGATATAGAGCGGAAGACAATATTGAGGTGGCAGTGTACACTGTAAGGAGGATGGAGGGAAGGAACGACTCAAATGAATCAAAGAGTCAATGAAAAGGGAGACGGAAAGAATGAAGAAAAAGCATATAGACAATAAGAGGAACGTCTAAGGATGAGGAAAAGACATACATGGAACAAAAAGAATGTCAAAGCGCTGATTCAAGGGAGTCATTCCAGCACAATGCAAAAATTACTATTGAAATGAACTTGCTTGATAGCTTCAGCTGTTTGGCTCACTCTGGGTTCAATGCCATGATAGCTAGCCAGTTAAACGTCTTTAAAACTTAACCTCTCCTTTCCAATCCCAGATGAATACAGATCTTCAGATATTATCCGGGTCATGGCACCAATTTAAAAAGGAATTTACAAGGCTTGAGTGTTTAAACCTCCTTCTTACCAAATCAGCATCAGCTAAATCCAAAGCAGCATCAATACCACACACAGCGGCTGAAACTTGTAGTTAGAATGACAAACCAATTCAGTCTTGCAGGGAGTGAGTCAGGAGAGAAAAGACACAGACCTACAGAACAAACAGGGTGTACAAATAAGCAGACGAAAAGCCTTAAACCTATTAATCATCCATCATACTTACATCTTACATATATTCAGAGTCTGAATACACATATTTAGAGTCTTTGTTGCCTTTAAATCATTAGAATCTGCTTTCAGAGTGGTTGATAGTGCGTACATGTCCAACTTGGCCATTGCGAAAATTACCAGCATATGGAACAGCGAGCTACAGTGTTACCTATCACTGTATGAAGGAAGCACCATGGTGTCTTCAATGGTGGATTGACTGAGATTAAGCACAAATTCAGATTGCTATGGAAATGCTTATTACTGATTGGGTTGGTGAGAGTAACAATAAAAGGCCAGTGAAATATATTCTCACTCTGGAAAAGGCAGTCTGTGATACAACATTAACATCGATGAGTTTCTGGCTTTGTTATATCACATTCTTTACATACTGAATAAAGCAACAAAAGCACTGAAACAGCAAATTATTCATGGAAAAGATCAGATTAAATGGGAGAAATGGCTGCTTTTTTGCACTGTGTTTATATCATCACTACAAAACATACTTGCCTGAGAAAAAGTCTGTGTGGATTCTTGCAATTGAATGTAACTGGAGCATCTGCTCAAAATGAATTTTACCCATCTCCAGGTGGCTGCACAAGATCCATCCCACAACCATCACAGGAAAAATTCTTGGTCGTCTGTCTAAAATACGATTCACTCAGCTTGCAGCACCCAAAGTGAAAAGAAGTGAAGAAATATTCACTCTTTCCTTTCAATAGGACCCATGACAATAATACAATGGCAATCTCATCATCACTGGTACTGATACAGAGCAAACCGCCACTGCTGGCTTCGCTTTGTGGGTCTCAATTTCATAAGTCAAATTCAAAAAGAGTCTTCAGAGTAAGCAATTCCAAAAGGTCACTTCATCCACATCCAGCAATGCATAATCAGCAGATAAACTTGATCCCCACATTGCAACCAATCCCCTTTCCAGATTACTAGCAGACGGGTTAAGTAGAGCACATCATCTCAGGGTTACTCACAGGGCACAGTGCGGAGGTAGAGGTTGTCCCGTATGATCTGCTGGAGCTCGTGGTCCACTGATCCCTTCTGGAAGCGGAGGTTAAGGTAATGGCGGAGGTCTTTATCCACAACACCTCCTGTGAAAACAGACAAACATCTCAGTCGGTTTGTCCACGAGAGACCCCTTCAGCAAACTCTCTATGTGTTGGGCTTTAAATGACCACAGCTAACCATGGTTAAAAAAAAGAGATCCAGAGTGAAGCTTTGACTTCAACTGCCCATCATTTGAACTTTCGGGAACCTGTCAGGGTATCACCAAAGATCTGATTAATGGGGTATTTACTCCACTGGCAGTGATGAAAAGCTTACCTGAAAGAGTGATTCAAGAGAGTGCAAGGCATTTGAGTGTTCAGCACTGTCAACATTAATACCATAACTAAATGATGTACGTAATGCAGCACCTAATAGCAAACCAGCACTTGCCTCTCAGCGCCTTCAACAGCGTCTTTAGCAAGACAGGGACTGTAAAACCTGTCTTTTTATTAAGTCGGATGGAGAACGGAGGTCATCCTCGCCCATGTCTGGTCTTCTACCCGTGTGCCGGTCATAACCTTGACCGTTCACCATAACTGAGCAATACGGCCCACCATAAACTGACAAATACACAAGAGCCAGTCTCCCAGAGGCGCTCGGTGTAACAGCGTCTGGTGTTAACCAGTGCATAATTACACAGCGTGCCGACGTATCCCACGCACTCGCGCAGGTGAACAAAAGCAGAAGCCGGTATCCCTGACATCATCAACAGACTGAGCCTCGACCCATCTGCTTTGTCTTATTAAGCAAGCACTGCGGCGATGTCATTGTGGTCCCGCAAGCGGACGCACGACCAGTTGGTGACACATGGTAGGCACTGCTAGGGCTATCAATCATGCGACGCTTTGACATTGTCAATGTAATGCAGTGATCTGGGGGGCGAGAAAAGAGGCCAGGCTTGCACAGCTGTTGCAGCGGACAAGATGCCACTTCCAACATGCCATCACACGACTCCCAGCACAATGGAAAAGACAATGAAGCATGGAGAATCACCTAGAGCAGATTTCCTTGAATGGAAATTACACGTCCATCCTCCGCTGATCCTTATCCGTAATTAGAGTCCCCCCTCTTTCGGCCTCCCCCCTCCGCCTCAACCCAGAAACTATTGTACCTCGATGTAAATCCAGCAGCTTCTACAGATGATGCTCTACTTACTCACCAGTCCCCGTGGCCAAAATCCTTCCTGCTCTTTCACTCGAAGCTCCAATTTCAAAAAATCCAGTCCTTCGTGTATCAATGGAAGCAGCAGCGATGGAGTCCCCCCTCTCTGCATCTAATTTAGCCACAAGCGGAGAGGGGGAGAGAGAGAGAGACAGAGAGAAAGGGGGAGAGAGGAGAACAGAGCCAGAGAGTGAGGCTCGAGCGAGCGAGAGAGAGAGCAAGAGAGAGAGCAGGGGGAAGAGGGAGATGGAGAGTCGTCGACAGTCGGGAGACAACAGTGTAGAGAAAGCTTTGCCAGTGAGGAGCCTATCACAATGATGCCAGTATTCTGATTGGCCTGAAAGATAGCAAGGTCCTACAGTTCCCCCTGTCTGCTGCTTAAGGAACTGCTCCATATATATAAATGTATGTGTGATAGAGATGCTTTTGGACACAACACCAAAAAGGCCAGCCTGTTCACACCAGATGCTGTCTGTTAGCTGGCACTGGGTGAACTTGTTGACCTTGTGAAGACATCACTGTCAAGCATGAAGACAGGAAATAGCAGTGATCTTTGGAAGGCTCACACTGGAGCCGCGACTTGGAAAAATCGCACGCTACCGAAGCAGATCTGCTGAGTTTCGAGGAACCACATTGACTTGTTGGGACTGTTATCTCTTGATTCCTATTCAACTTCGGCTTATAGGTACAATGTAAACAAATCAATGAACCCGGATGACTCAAGGCAATTATCATCCAAACAAAATCACTTGAGAAACTAAATAAAATAAAGAAATGTAGGTAGGGGTGGGCAATGTGACAGTATTTACCGTTACTGTGAAAAATTACATCACAATCCAGTTTTCTGAGCATACTGTAAATATCGTCCATACTTAATGAAAACTGGACCACTGCACAGTTCATTACAAAGAGTGGATGATGAGGTCAGTTTAACTGGATGTAGTGCAGCGAGGTACATGAAACAGCAACAGAACACTTGAGGCCGTGTCTTATCATGGTGATGATCTACAGTAGAGATGTCCAAACTTTTTATAAAGAGGGCCATATCGTACCATGTCAGGGCTGAAATGATATTTACATATGATTCAAAACGTTATGTTTTTAAAATATGGAAATAGAACTTTGTAGAGAAATTAATCAAACCAAGTGTTTTGCTGGCAATCCATTCTGAGAATTTGGCAATGACCCCTTAAACGCGTATGAATCTGCCATCAGAGGAGTTACAACGGTACGTCTTTAAGCTGGTCAGAGTGAAACATACCAAGGCATAGAATCTGAGATTTCTGTGAGTTACTGTTGCTTACTATGACTGTATAACGGATGTACAAGGCTTCTTTTATTGTTGGATTGCTTATTCAGAGCTATTTGGATCGGTAAGCACTTACAACAAATTATTAAAGTGTTTAAAAGTAGCAAAATGTGACTAATGTATTAAGTATATTGCTATTCATGTGTTTACTTTTTTAAGAATATAATTTGTGAGACAAATTAAACAAAAATCTACACATTTTTGATAGATCATGTTCTTTACATGTCAAATAAAAGCAGCACCAGCAGTCCGAAATCACTTTATTAATCGAGAACAGCAGAGTAAACAGCAAGAATAGCCACATTATTATTCGACCTTACACACATTTACTGGATTACTTCATTCACTATAATAAGAAGGTGGTGCTGTGAGATGAGGGTAGCTGGCAGTAGTTTCTCTTCCGCGTAACATCCATACTTCATTTCATGGCTACTGATATTAATGAATGACATTTGATGCACATGCATTTGCTTTGGCTCTTGAAAAAGTATTCAAACTTCCATATCTCCAACATCGGTGGTTCTCAGTGTTACATCTGCACTTTATGGCTGCAGTATTGACTAAGTGTCATTTAATAACTTAAGCTGCAGGTCCAGTCAGAGAGGAAAGGCTCTTGAACTTAGATAACTTTGGTACAGTGCATTACACTGTAATGTTACAGTATTACTGCCATCATTAGATGAAATGTATTAGGCCACTTATAACACTCTTAAGCAGAAGCCAAGGGCCAATTAAAATCTGCATGTGAGCTGCATTTGGCTCTGGGGCTGGACTTGGGACTAATATATATATATATTATATACATTTATATATATAGCTGCTGTCTGAACAAAACCTTCTATCTTCAAACTTTACAGGAGAAGGAAAAACATACTTCACTTTTAATTTAAGTCAATGGAACCAAGTAATTTTGGGCTTTTTCTTTTGGTCCATTCATCATTAAATTTGCACACAGTGTAAAAGGCAACAGGCATTTTCAAATTATGTCAAAAACTAAAACACTAAAAATTATATATATGTCCTTTACTTGTTAGCTACATTAGCCTCATAGCTCCATCACAGAACTACAGAAGCAAATTTCAGATATCAAATATGTCTTGGCTGATTGACTATGGCCCTGCGATGGACTGGTCGACCTGTCCGTAGTGTTTCCTGCCTTCCACCCAATCACCACTGGGATAGGCTCCGGCTCCCCCCGCGACCCAGAAGGATGAACGGCTTAGAAAATGTGTGTGTGTGTGTGTGTGTGTGTGTGTGTGTGTGTGAGACTGACTATGTTTGGGGCAAAGAGAAATTTGTTTAAATATGACTTTTCTGTGATTTTTTCTGAACCATTTCTTTAATACAGCCATAAGCACTATTCTACACTGATACAATCAATACAACAAGTAACAATTAGCGACACAACTTATACTGAATGCAACCGAGCATGTTAATAAACTCACAAACGTTAAGCATTATATTACAGTCCCGACAAGGTTCAGCTGTCCTGATCTCCGCAGTGACCTCACATTGGTACAATTTCACTGTGGAATTGAGGACACTCAGTCCCACTGGTTGCCCACTCCCTGCGTGAGAGAAGAAGGTTATAAATCTTGACTCATTATGTTTCTGGTTATTAGATTTACTAGACGAAAAACGACAAGCCTGTGTTGACAGGAATGGGATGGCTGACTGCGGCCCCGCTCGAGGCCAAATATAACTGTAAACAAAGCACAAGCATTCGGCTGGACGTCACCGTGCTGGAAGCTTCTCATGCCCTACAGGCTTCGATTCAGGGAGGCTTAGACACAATGACAGCACAAGTGTAAGACGCTCAGGAAACATTCTGGCTCGTTTCCACTTTTTTAGATGCTTTCTTTTCAAGCCAAATGTGTAGGCTAGCAGATTACACAGCACCAAAACAATGGAGTACAGACCAGGCTAAAGTGACCTTGCCATATGAAGTGAAAAGCCAGAATCCAAATGTGCAAGAAACCCACACTAAACAGACGGGGACTCATTTCCCGCAAGCGTCACAGCACAGAGATCACTGTAAGATGGCAGAGAGAGCATCAGCTTTGAAGCGCTGAGATTAGCGCAGCACTACAGCGCTTTCTGGGGAAGAGGGGCCAGATTAGTTAGCCTCTGATCGCTCATGCATGTCTGCTAGTTGATGGAAGGTTCTAGCTGCTCTGTGGGAACCTTGCAGCATTTTTAAACCTAAAAGATGCAGTCACAGGTGCCACGTGCAGAACTGGGTGGTACTGATATAGTTCAATATATGGAATTTTCCAAAAATCTATGCGTGTTGTAACTAAAATTTCTAATGGTTTTAATACATATCACAGTACATACACCGACCGGCCATTAAAGGAACAATATGTCATTTATTTACTGTACTAAATCATAAAATGACCATGAGAGATCATCATAGATTAACCAAACATGGTAAGTTGAAATACTGGTTTCTCTACAACAGTGCTACAGTCAGTATCTTCTCATTTAAAGTTTCTATTCCGGAGCGGGAAGTCTGTTTATGTTTTGGCCTGTGATCCCACCCACTGCCCAATTCCCACTAGCATCTCAACACCC